CACTATATTTGTGCAAAGTATTTAGTTGTCCTCATACAACTTTTTCATTTTCCATTCAATACTGATATTTCAGCTTTGAGTGTTGACCCATACCTGATACAGTATAGATATAAACCATACATAATTTGGTTAGGATTATTTTTTGTCATTCATTTATACGGTTGTTAAACAATTAAATAACTTTCCTATTGGGAATAGTAAATGTATTAGAATGTTTCCTTCCCATGGTTTAACACTATAAAGTATACAGGCTAATTTAAAGACAGATTAAATTATCATTAACTGAGAAAATCTCTGGTAGTTTGCAATTGAATATCCTTGATCTAGAAGAGTGTGTATATCTCAATATGGGTGGAGCCAGTGATGTCTCTTCATTTAGAAACGTGTATGATGTAATGATGTGGCAGGGTGTAACCGCAGATGTATGAAAATATTATTTTAACTGTTATTTGGGTCCTTTTTCCTAAAAAAGAACCCGATGGTAAGCACTGCCATTGTGTCCATCGAATCCTATCTTGTCTGAGTAAGACTGAATTCTCTTTAACCTGCAATCATGTTCAATAGTCATTTAATATATTTACATTCAAATGTGTTTTTTCAAGTCTTTCTACTAAGTGATCTCTTATCAGGAAAGTTTGAGGAGAGAAAGCTTGAAGCTGTAAGCACTTAGCTTTCCCCAACACTATTATTATTATACTAATTTTTTAAAGTGGAATGTCAGGAAAAGGATTGATCATGTATTGTCATTTAAACCCGGCGTACACTGTGCAATATTCGGGGTTATTTTCCAGTCATGCAAGTATTTTTCGATCGGCCTGACTCAGCCTGATCGTGAGTCGTGTACAGGGGGTTACGAGCGGCGATCAGCCTCTCACGACCAACTCCCGCTCAGGAATTGTGAGGTCAGGAGAAAATCAAACATGTTCGATATTCTCCGACCATCGTGTGCAAATCGCTCAGGGCGCATGCGCAAACAAGGATTTTTCCTTTTATTCTTCCTCTCAGATGTAAAAACAGCAGCGTGGCAGCGATGCAATGAGTGAAATGCAGTTCTGTAAAATTGACAGACCGTAGTAGCCACGTTTGCTCAGCCATGTTTTTTTTTCAAATACGTCGTCGCCTTTTCTTTTTAGGATTTTCAGCACAAAATTGCACAAATTGGCAGGGCAGCGCGGTTCACTATATTAAGTGTTAATACCCCCCTCTACTTGTTTGGCTTCCGGATAGAGGAGTCAGAGCAGCTCCATCTAACAGCGGAGCTCAGTCCGATGTTGTTTTTAGTCGCACAGTGTGAGCAGGTAGATCGCATCAGAGCGGCGGGCTGAACATAAATCGTGAGCTGTTAACTTAAACTGTATGACCAAACCCTGCGATTAGTCTTACAGTGTGAGCGGCAGCTGCGTGCAACAATAGAAAACACAGTGTACGCCCGGCTTTAGAGAACAATAAGTAGTCATGAGAACTGACCCATGCATGATTAACTGATGGGTTACATAAACTTTAAACCAAAAGATTACAAACATATTAGATACTGGCTGATATTCTTATATTCGTTTTTCAGCTGATATTGGACTGTGTTTCAATATCTATACCAGATTGGGGTCATCCCTACATTTTTGCATTACTAACAGCTGTGCAGCTTAGTAATTAGAATGTTTTCTATTCAAAGAAGCTAATTCATCCATAGATCGTGCCCTTTTATACCAATATGAGAGTGGTCATAGCTGTGATTACATTTTGAGATTGACACATTAGTAGTGTATCATGTTTTTAATTTAATTTTTGAGTTGTGTGTTAAAAAAATCTATGGAGACCCCTGGTTTGTTGGAACCATTTTGTTTTGTAGCATCTCATTTGCACAGTGAAAAAGCTTACCGTATTTTCACGACTATAAGGCGCACTTAAACGTCTTTTTTTTTCCTCAAAATGTGCGGTGCG